GTATGTGCGTTCCACATGGTCTGTGTCAGCTCTGGAGACACATTTACTGCTCAAACTGCCTCCAAATGTAGCCTGACCCTGACTATATTACTCCATGTCTGCTTCACCTCTGTCTCTCCTGCTCAGAGTGCTCAGGCAGTGATCTTTGACCAAGACACCCACAGAGCTCTGCTGCCACCTGCTGGCTTAATATAAATACTGTCTACAGCCAAACCCCAGACATATATGATACACAGACACAGACAGACAGGAAAAGACGGAAAAACAATGTCGAAGTCAATTGATGTCAATGAGTTAAGCTCAATGGTACTTTCCTGGTAAAAAAAAAAAAAAGATTCAGTGATTCTTTGGCGTACCCCTAGAGGGAGCCCTACGTACCCCACTTTGAGAACCATTGATATATGGTACCTTTTCGATTTATATTTGACTTAGTGTTGTGCACATGTTTTTATACAGGCCAGGTTTCCCATTGATGAGGAATCATTTAATGACGAGCTAGAGAGCCTGGAGCTGTCTTCCCTTTTGTTGGTCGACTCCTACTAGTGGGCAGGAGGCGAAGCTAAGCCTGTCTCCTTTCTTTTCCTTTCCATCCCTCCATTGTGAGGATTGACACTACTCCACATTCCGACATTCAATAAAGAGTGCTTGGACATAAACTTACCCAACAATAACTTTCCACAGACTTTGTGGTGCTCAACCAAACAAGTTATTACCCATAACTGAACTGGACCACTGTAAATATTTCTTCATTGTTGTTCACACATTACACTTTACTTATAACTTACCTTTTTGTTCTGTCATTTACTGAACCTATCCTCCAGCAGCCTACTCTTTTTCTTCTGATCAATAGCCCAACCTAATTACATTTATCATCTAACTTATTACATTTAACAACAAAGCAGTTGTTACACTCAACTCTGCATTTTGGCCCAAAGTTTTTGATATTAGAATTAGGATTTTTACATTCTGTATCTATACAGGAATATTAACATTGTGTTTTATAACGCACAAGGATTACGCGTTGGCCTCGGTGATGTGCGATAAAGCTCGCCGCCCTGTGGTAAAAAAGCTTCTTGAAATCTGCGACATATTATGTATACAGGGGACTTTCCTATCGAAGCAGGATGTGGTTAAGTTAAACTCCATACGTGAAGACTTCTATGGAGCAGAGAAATCCACTACTGACTGTAGCACCAGGATTCTTTGTGGCAGAATTCTTGGAGGTGTGGCTGTGCTATGGAATTCTTTACTTGCAATAGACGTCACGTCCGCCTCATCACTTATGCGTATCACAAAGTGGTGGTCAGCCGAGCCGTGTTTACTAGGCAAGGCAAGGCAAGTTTATTTATATAGCACAATTCATACACAAGGCAATTCAAAGTGCTGAACAAAACAAGAAAGCATTAAAATCATAAATTATCACAGAACATTAAAAAGAAAGATAAAAATATAAAATCCATCAGTTGTATGCACAGCTAAACAGAACTGTCTTTAACCTGGTTTTAAACATTGTCAGAGAGGAGGCCTGTCTCACATCTTCAGGAAGACTGTTCCAGATTTTAGCAGCATGAATCTGAAAAGCAGCCTCCCCATGTTTAGTTCTGACTCTGGGCACTAACAGGAGTCCAGTCCCTGTGCTCCTCAGAGTCCGGGCTGGTTCATATGGGACTAACATGTCACTAATATATTTTGGTGCGAGGCTATGGAGAGACTTGTACACAAGCAGAGCTGTTTTAAAGTCTATTCTCTGAGCCACAGGAAGCCAGTGCAGAGACCTGAGGACTGGACTAATGTGGTCGTACTTCCTGGTTCTAGTCAGGACTCGAGCTGCTGCATTTTGAATGTACTGCAGCTGTTTTACAGCCTGTTTGGACAGACCTGTGAGCAGGCCATTGCAGTAGTCTAACCTACTGGAGACAAATGCATGGATAAGAATCTCCAGGTCTGCTTTAGACACTATGTTTTTGATCCTGGCAATGTTTTTTAGATGGTAAAAAGCTGCTGATGTTACTGATTTGATGTGGCTATTAAAATTTAAGTCTGAGTCCAGTATTACCCCTAGATTTCTGACCTTGTTTGAAGGTTTTAGGGAGAGAGACTGTAGGTGACAGATGACGCTCTCTCTTTGTTTCTAGCAGCGTGTTTGAAAATGCCTTTTGCATGTGTTGTTTTATGTTGTTCTAAGCGATGAAATCGCGAAACCGATAGAGCATATGTGTCAAAGTCAAGGCCTGGGGGCCAGATCCGGCCCGCGAGACCATTTCCAGTGGCCCCTGAGATGATATTAAAGTATTATATTAAATAGCAGCATTGTTGGTAATAGGCGACAAGGGCATGTTATCCATTACTATTTTTCCACCATAAAAACCACCATAAAATTTAACTCCATAAGAAATGTTAAAGGAATAGGCCACCGTTTTTACACACTGACATATGTTCTAACCTTACCTTAGACTAGTTGATATGTACCTGTCTGGTCTTTGTCCGTGCGCTCTGTCATGCAAACGGAGCACAAATGCAGCCTCTTCCATATACTGTATAGTTCCAAATCAGCTCCCGTTAGAAGCTACCAAACTCTTCCACGTGTTCCCTATTTAAATACAGTTACGTGACATGTTACACTACAAAGTATAGTAACACAGAAATGTAACAAGTCGATTTTCTCAGCGGATAAAAAGGGGTACTTTATTGTGAGGCGTAATAATACACGGAGCACTTAGTCCGCGCACTAACTGCTAAAGACTTCTCTCCCGCTCACGCTGCTTCTATTGACGGAAGTGAGCGGGGGAGAAGTCTTTAGGAGTGCGCGGATGAAGTGCTCCTCTGTGGCCTATTCCTTTAAGCTAACATGTAATTAGAAGTTAGTATCGTTATGTTGTTTTTTTTACGAGTCTTCAATTACATTTCTCAATTTTCTTAGGAAAAAACTGCCCTCTCCACTTTATGAACAAAAATCTCTGGTCTTATTTGACGAGTACGAATCACCAGAATGTTTGACAATTGGGAGAACCAACAGTCTTGATGATCCACCCGGAAGTAGAAAATCCTCCTATATACCTTCAATATTTGGTCCAATTTTGGTTCAGTCCACTGGAACTGAACTAATTCTAATCAGAAAAGAATATCCAATCTAATCAATGTGAAACAAGTCATTTATATAAATACCTTCATATTATATCAGGAAGGCAGTAGCTCAGTTGGTAGAGCATTGGCCTTTGAGCCAGAAGGTCGTGGGTTCAAGCCCCGCTCAAGACTTTCACCCACTGTCTGCTGTGGTTGTGTCCTTGGCAAGACACTTAACCTCTGGGAACACCAGCCACAGTGGGGCGGCTGCGGCTGTAAAGTGCCAAACTGCCGTTGTGCCCTTAGGCAAGACACTTCCCCCCCATTGCCTGGAATGAGTCTGGTGTGTGTGTGAATGGTTGGTGGTGGTCGATGGTGCATACTGGTTGCCTCGCTTCTGTCAGTGTGCCCCAGGGCAGCTGTGGCTACAGTAGTAGTTTATCACCACCGTGTATGGAGTGAATGAATAATGACACATGTGAAGCGTCTTTGAGTGTCCTGAAAAGCGCTATATAAAACCGATGCAAAAAAGTGTATAAAATGGAACCCACTTATTCTCTCGGCCCCTGGTCAGCCCTTTCATTTTTTTATTTGGCCCTCAACCCAAAACAAGTTTGTCACCCCTGCGATAGAGGATACTTTAGCGTTCCTAGTGAAGAGAACTAGAAAAGTGGCTTACTAACATTTCACTAGCAAACGCTTTTACATCGAAGGATTATTTATTTACCCAGCCATGCAGTCACAATGCACAGTTATTACATCCCCATCTTTTTTTAAATTAACTTTCAGGTATGAGTTGGCGTTTTAGATGAACACTGTGAATGTTTGACCTGATAAGAACACAGCACACATGTTGACGCATTGTTTTGTTGAGAATTACAAGTTCATACACCACTCGTTACTTCCACAGCTCTTAGACCTTTACGCTGAGTTCCTTAAAGGTCCCATTATACGCTTTTTGACTTTTCTCTGGTTTAAACATGATTAAAGTGCAAATTGGCCTTCATACACATGTCGAGAGTAGTTTTTTTGTATTGACTCCCTCAAGCTTTAACTGCAGCCATTACGCGATATATAGCGAAGTGCACACTCTACTGTGTATGGAATTGGCAACTTTAGGCAAGAATTGAGGTTAATATGTGTCATACAGCATGTTACGGCCACTGGGCCGCGCCGTACGCGCTTCCCTCCCTCCTGTGCTGTGCTGCTGTTCTGCCCAGGCTCCGCCCCGCTGCATCCAGTTACGCACGCTGCCTCCCAGTCCTGCTTTCTCCATTCTGAAATTGGGTCGCGCTCTCCGCATCTGGCCAATCCGTCGCTGCAACTAATCAGCACCAGCCATGAAAACCAGTCTGCTCCTTCTGTGCGGGGCGGCTTGAATCAGTGTCTTGTCTGCCACCGTTCTGAGAGAACGTGTTACTCTGTGCTAAAGTTTAGATATTAGGATTGCCTGTGTGACTATGTGTTTGTGTTTTGATTTAGTTGAATCAAGAATCTTGTGTTTTGTTTGACTCTGAAGTGGTCCAGTACAATATGTTATCCCCTTTTGCCTGTTTTATTAAAGGCCATTTAATTAACCATTCTAGATCTTGGTTTTGTATGTTACATTACTCTTCCCCTACGAGCTCAACTATAGGGTGGTAACACTGCATTTGGATGTAATTAATATTGTGATTAATTTTTGCTATACATTTTTCTTTTGCGGTTAAATGCAGATTGCATTTTTAGGCGAAATAAAAATGTTTGGCTAGAATATTGTAATCGAAATTGAATTTTGCTCTAATTTCCAATATTGTTCAGCCCTAGTTTTTCTGACCTGGATCTGGTTGTCACTGGTTCTTTGTAGACCCAGCCTGAGGGGTGTCTCTCACCTGGGTGAGTAGGTGGGTCTCTCTCCTCCCCGGTCTCTCACCTGGATGAGGAGGTGAGTTTCTCACCTGGATGCGGATGAAGCAGTGGGGGCAGTTCTTGCTGTTGACGTCAATCCAGTCCAGAGACAAACAGCTGGAGAGAAACCCCACCATGGTCTCACGGCCGTACCTCTCCTCCAGGAGGTTCCGCCGAGGTTTACTGGCGCTGGAGTAATCTTCCCAAAGGGCCCTCCTACCCTCTGCACACACACATACAGCCGATCAGAACACACTAGGCCGTTTTGATTGTATGGCACAATTCATAAAGGCCATATGCGCATGGTTTTCTTTTTACGCCTTATTTTCTTTTTACTTTATATAAATTGAGAGCCTAAGAAATGTCCTTGTTTGTGACTTTCTGTTACTCACAATGGCAATAAAAAAAAATCTGATTCTAATTCTGAAAGCCAGATCCCGTCAGACTGCTGAAGCTAAGCAGAGCAGGGCCTGGTTAGTACTGTGGGAGATTTCTGGGAACACCACCAGGTGCCACAGTGGGGTGGCTGTAAAGTGCCAAACTGTGGTTGTGTAGGCAAGACACTTTACCCACATGTAAAACACTAGAGGGTAGCGTCTGTATTGTCCCGCTGCTGGGTGTCTTAGAGGAACAGGAGAGATGTCTTTGTTGCTGAGTTTTGTTAAGTCTGATGACAGGGTGTGGATCGAGTTCTGGAGCAGCAGCAAGGACATCTTCATTCAGGACTGCATTGAGGACTCCATCTTTGAGGCTTTGTAATGAATGACAGTGGTTCCTACGTCGTGCGCCTGTGAAGCCTTTTTGATAAAAGTAGCGCACGGCCAAAGCGAGGCTATAATGTGACCAGCGCGGACAGGACAAGTACGGATCTTTGTGTAACATGTGCACTCAATAAATACGCCTGCTGCGAGTAATACAGCCGGACTATGTGAGCCTCAGGAAGTGTCCTTGTCTCCTGTGACTCCTCCCACTGGTGCCTCAAAGCTCACAACCAACTCCATCCATTCATTCTCACATTACATTCATACCTATTGTGCATGTTTTTAGTGGTAGGGGAAAATGGAGCACACGGAGGAAACCTACGCAGACACGGGAGAACATGCAAACAGGATCACGCAGAAAGGCCCTGTTCCGATCAGGATTCGAACCTACCTTCTTGCTGACAAGAGAGAGTGCTATCCACTCAGCCACCATGTCGCGATAGTAAAGTAATCCGTTCTGGTTCAGCTCCAAGGTTTAGGAAATGTCATGTCAATGTCATGGAAAAGATGTTGTGCTTCTGGAGATGCAGAGGGCCAGACCTAATTCTAAATGCTAGCGACTCACTCGGGTGCATTACATACATCATGGTGAACTCAGAACCAATTGTTTCAATCTGCAAGAGGAGTTGACCCCTCCCACCTGTTCACAGAGCTCAATGGAGCAAATTCAAATTTACTATGAAATGAAATTTGTACGATGGTGTGGTAAGACCATAGACTGTATATATTAACGGACAGAGTCACGTCTATCTCCGCCGTTCTAACTAATGGGCCAAAAAATGTGCTCTACTGGAGCAATCCAAAATGGCCGCGAGTGGTCCCGCCCACAAGAAAATTGTGAAAAAACGCATCTGCGCATGCGTCAGCCGGCGCAGCTCCATTCATTTGAACGAAAGACTTCAAAAATTCACAGCAAGTAAACTAGAGTGGACCAAAAAAATTCACCCCCCTCAGCATTGACACACATGTGGAACGGAGCTTTGGGCCAAGAGCCAACTTTTGGACCATCCTGTAAAGACGTTTTTGAGAGGTCTGCCAACGCTATATGTTAGCATTGGCTAATTCTTCTTCTGGGTCCACCCCCACAGGCCCGGGGTGGTATTGCAGCATGTCAGCGCACGTCATTTTAGCCACTTTTGAGCTGGGACCCTCCCCCAACGGGTAAGACCAGGCCACCGTAATGTTAAACTATATGTGTTTTGTCACATGTAAAACCTATTCCCTATCTCACAATTTTGGTAAATTTTGCCTAAAATTAGAATCAGGTTCTTGTCAAATGTGGACAGAGTTTATTTTATTTATTCATTTGACAGGGACAGACAAAAATAACATTGTCACCCATAGGTAACCGATGTTAAGTACATAGGGCTTCGAGCCAAAGACTAATTTGCAGGTTCGACTTTTTGAGTTCAGTATAAAGTAGTCGCCTCACAATGTCCAGTCAAAAATACAAAAATGTAAGCTAAGTCATAGTTCCTTGGACCATTTCCTCTTTGTTCTCTGTAAAGAAGCTGTTTTCTTTATCTGGAGAATAGAATACAATAACCTATAGTGCTCTCTGCAGAGATGCCAGTAACACATGTGAGGGTATAGTACATGTATGAGTGTGTAGGAACAGAACTTACCCAGAGTATCTGGGATCTCTGCGAGATCTCCGTCCTGGACCACCGTTGGTCTCGGTCTCTGGACTGCGGTGGGGCAGGCTCCGGTGCCGTGGTACGTCCTCTGACAGAGCAGACAGAAGGCCAAGCTGCAGGCGGAGCACTGAGCCATGGAGCCAGAGGAGAGGACAGCAGAGGCACAGGAGGGACGAGGACAGTATACCACATCTGAGCACAAGATTCAGATTCAGTTTATCTGCCCTAACCCGAACCCTGACCACATTATTCTAAGATTTAGATTTAGGAGTCTGGATTCATAAAGAACCTCCAGAACAGGCAGCTCACAGTCCTCTTTCAGAGCGGAAATCCTCTCTTCTGTCTCTCCAGTCTCTCTCTGGTCTCTCTCTGGTCTCTCTCTGGTCTCTCTCTGGTCTCTCTCTGGTCTCTCTCTGGTCTCTCTCTGGCCTCTCTCTGGCCTCTCTCTGGCCTCTCTCTGACCTCTCTCTGGTCTCTCTCTGGTCTCTCTCTGGTCTCTCTCTGGTCTCTCTCTGGTCTTTCTCTGGTCTCTCTCTGACCTCTCTCTGGTCTTCTATCAGATTCTTTACATGGATAGTGCTATTAAAACTACTAAAACTATTCCAAGTTTGCTCTGGATCATTGCTGAAACAGGCTTAAAAATAACCAGTCACCAGGCATTGAGTCGAGAGTGTACTGAAGCAGGAGGCGATCGTAGCGGCTGAACAGCTCTTCGCCAACAAGAGTCCGCACCTGAACAACAAGAATGGAAAATCAAAAAACACAACACAGCAGTTACAGCAGTCAGACAAGAAAAAACACATAAAAAACAACAAATGTCTTTTGGCGTCCAAAGAAGCACTGCATCAATGCATTGTTATTATTAGTATTATTATTTTATGTTTTGTAGGTTTTTTTTGCTATAAGTCAATTATCTCCACAGTGATGTGTAATATGTAAGTTTTACATTGTAAGTTGTAGTACCAAAGTAAAAGGACTTTTGAGCAACATTGTGATTTTCGGAGTTTCCGTATTTAGTGGATTTTGAGACCACTGTTTTAAGGTGGACATCTTTTATTTTGGAAATGTTACTGAACTGAACTGGTGAATGTCAGGGTCAGGGTTGGTAAATGTGCTTATATTTATGCTTGTAGGGCAGATGACCAATTTCCATCCATCCATCCATTTTCTTCCGCTTCATCCGTTGCTGGGTTACGGGGGCAGCAGTCTAAGCAGAGACGCCCAGACTTCCCCATCCACACACACTTCCTCCAGCTCATCTGGGGGTCCCCCCAAGGCGTTCCCAGGCCAGCTGAGAGACATAGTCCCTCCAGCGTGTCCTGGGTCTTCCCCGGGGCCTCCTCCCGGTGGGACGTGCCCGGTCGAGGGGGCATCCGAAACAGATGTCCGAGCCATCTCAACTGGCAGTGGCTCTACTCCGAGCTCCTCCCGTGTGACTGAGCTCCTCACCCTATCTCTAAGGGAGCGCCCAGCCACTCTGTGGAGGAAGCTCATTTCGACTGCTTTCTTTCTTTCTTTCAATGTATTTAACAGTTTTTAAAGAGATTTACAGTTCATGTGCATCACATTAATACTGTACAAATAAATCAATCTTAAGTTATAACAAACAGTAATACAAAACAAAACAAAACATCCCCCCTTACCACCACCCCCACCCCCCACATTCACTCTCAATGTGGCGGCACGGTGGATAGCACTCTCGCATCTCAGCAAGAAGGTCCTGGGTTCGAATCCTGGCCGGACCAGGGCCTTTCTGAGTGGAGTTTGAATGTTCTCCCCTTGTCTGCGTAGGTTTCCTCCGGGTATTCCGGTTTCCCCTACCACTAAAAATATGTACAATAGGTAGGGCATGCGCCTCCTGTTCGGCGACCCGCTCCCATCTCTGTGTGGAGTGAGAGGACAAGTGCCCAAAAAAAAAAAAACAATTGTAAACCGCTTTGTGACTCTGGTCTGTGAAAGGCGGTATATAAATGAAGCTTACTTACTTACTCTCAACATCCAGCCACAAACCTTTTGTGCACTGTCCATTCATTCCCATACAAACCTACACATTCACAGCCACGCACACGAGCACACACGAGCACACAGGTCACTAGCCACTTCAGTACATCAAGTTATATGACAGAGATAGCTTTCTTTAATATTCTAGCTGCATCTCCTCCAATGTGATTCAGTACAGGATTCCAGATTTCGAAGAAGGTGTCGGTATTTCCTTTGAGGAGATAAGTTAGTCTTTCCAATGGGAAAAGGTTTAAGATATTCTTAAACCAATCAGAGATTCGTGGTACCACATCCTCTAACCAGTGCTGCATAATTGTTCATCTTGCACTGTACAAAAGCAATGATATTAATTTTGTATGTTGCCTCAGTTTTGGGTCAGAGTTCGACAGTCCCAGAATGCATTGGAGAGGGCAGGGCTTTACACGGTTTTGGACAATGGATGAAATATTTTCACATACTTCTAACCAATATTGTTTTGACATTGGGCACGACCATATTAAATGTACATAGGTACCCACATGCTGTTTGCATTGTTTACATAGTGATGAACAGTTCTTATCATATTTATTCCGTTGATATGGAGTAGTTTGTAATTTGTTTATTATTTTAAATTGAATTTCTTGTGACTTGTAACTACAACATATTTTTTTGGAGTTGAGCATGATAGTGCTCCATTGTTGGGTTGTTATACTCATATAGAGATCATGCTCCCAAGACCTTTTACGCACTGTGGTCACACCAGATGGCTATAAATGTATGAAACTTTTTTACTTTTTTGTAAACTGATTTTAAATAGCATTTTTTCCAAGCAGTGAGGACCAAGTTCTTGTTTATATTGTGGAATTGAGTTTAGAAAATGCCTAATTTGCAAGTACCTAAAGAATTCTTTGTTTGGTAGGTTAAATGATTCCTGTAACTGACTGAATGATTTTATGACACAATTAAAGTAATATATAATCTATACGATGGTATCGTATAGATTATATATTACTTTAATTCCAAGTTTTTCCCATTCTCTGTAGCCTTTATCTAAACAAGAAGGAATAAAATGAGGATTATCTGCTATTGCAGCTAGAAATGAATAGTTTGGGTCAATTGAAAACTCCTTTTTGATAGTATTCCAGGTCATTAAAATATTGGAGGCTATATAGTTATTTTTCTCCAGTTGTTTACTTGGAAGAAAGGGTGCTTTTGATAGAAGTTGCAGTTTGCATCCTAAAGATTCTAATTCTAAATTGCAGTTTCCAGCTTCCTGTACTACCCACTCAGATAGGTTCTTAAGTTGTATTTAATAGTGATAGTACAGAAAATTGGGCACATCAAGGCCTCCCTCTTTCAAAGGCAACTGTAGTTTTTCGAGTTTCATTTTAGGACGACGGCCATTCCAAATGAATTTAGAAACTTGTTTATGTGGATCTTTAAATACAGTTTTTGGTATGGCATGAGGAATCATTTGCACCGGATAAAGAATCCGTGGCAGTATATTCATTTTGATGACAGCTATACGCCCCAAAAGAGATAAAGGTAATGCTGTCCATCTCAGAAGGTCTAACTTAACTTGCTTAATGACTGATAACAGGTTAATTTTGCTGAGCTCTTCCAAGTTATAAGGGACCTTGATGCCAAGATATTTAAAACCGTTTGCAGTAAGTTTGAACTGATTGAGAATTGAGTCCTGCAAGCTTCGGCTGTCACCGAGCGGTAGGACTGATGAGTTGCTCATATTGACTTTATATCCTGATTGTTCCCCAAATGCATGAATGGTTTTCATAACATTTGGTAAGGATATCTTAGGATTTTCAACAAAAAGTAAAACATCATCTGCATATAAAGAAATAACATGTTTAAATGTCCCACTGTTGATACCAGATATATGGGGATGAGTACGTATTGCCTCTGCTAGAGGTTCAATAGCCATTACGAATAACAGTGGAGACAGAGGGCAGCCCTGGCGAGTGCCCCTTTCTAAAGTTAAGGGATTAGATATTATGCCATTTGACATGACAAGTGCTTCCGGACAAGTGTAAAGTAGCTTTACCCACTGAATGAAAGAATCACCAAGTTCAAAGCGTTCCATTATTTTGAACATGAATTTCCACTCGAGGCGGTCGAATGCCTTCTCCGCATCCAATGAGAGGATCATGGCGTTCGACTGTTTATTCTTAGCATACTGTAACTGTGACTCCTAAGAGGCGTTTTACATTTGTATGCGAGTAGCGGCCTTGTACAAATAATATTTTGTTTTCTATACTTTGCAAGCTTATTGGTCTATAGGAAGCTGGATCTTCTGGGTCCTTGTCCTGTTTTTGAATGAGTGTTATCGCGGCCGTTTGTATAGGCAGGAAATAGTGATATGCCCTTTGTGGTTTTTAAGAAGCTTAGAAAGGAGAGACCCAGGTTTATTGCCACATTCATATATTTTTTGTTTCTGTGTTAACAAGCTTTTTTCAGCTTGCTGGGAAAATAGGGTGTCAAGAGCAGTTTTTGCAATTATGACTTGATAATAATTTTCTTGTGATGGATGCTGTTTATGTCGTAGTTCACACACTTTAAGCTCTTTCTCAAGGTTTGTTTGTTCTACTATAGTCTTCTTTTTTCTGGCACTGCAGTAGGATGTAATCAGTCCTCTCAAGTATGCTTTTGTGGTATCCCAGAGTACTGTAGGATTGACTGCACCATTGTTATTTATTTCTAGGAACTTTGACAGCTCCTCTCTTACAGTATATGCTCACAAAATGTCGGTTCAGATAGAACACTTCTGTTACACTGCCATCTAAACTTGCGAACTGGGTTTTTTATAATTATGTTCAGTGCAACAGGAGCATGATCTGAAATATGTATTGATCCTATTTTACAATCAACTATTGAGGATACCAGGACACGTGGGATAAGAAAATAATCTAAACGAGAATACGAATTGTGCGGGTTTGAATAAAAAGTATAATCTTTGGCACCAGGATTTTGGAGGCGCCAAATATCCACCCAGCCCATTTCATTAATTAACTGATTAAGACATTTTGAGCTTTGATTAATATGTCTATTTAGCGAAGATCTATCCATGCGAGGATTCAATATACAATTCCAATCCCCTCCGACAATGACATTTGGGATTGCGAACTCTGATACCAACTGAGAAAGCATCGTAAAGAACCCAGGTGGAGATTTAGGTGGGGCATAAAGATTCAATATCACAATACCTTCGCCATATAAGATACCTTTGATCAATATATAACAGCCATTTGGATCAGACTGAGTAGATTCAACTTGTAAGGGTAAGTTTTTATGAATAAGAATTGCCACACCTCTTCTTTTAGAGGAGAATGATGAGGAGTAAGCTTGACCTACCCAGTCTTTTTGTAGCTTTGAGTGTTCTAATTTATTTAAATGAGTCTCTTGAAGCAGAGCAATATCAGTTTTTTCCTTTTTGAGAAAGTTTAATATTTTTTTCCTTTTTATTGGGTGATTGACACCTTGTACGTTCCAGGTGATCATTTTTAAGCTATGCCTCACCATTTAAGTTATATTGTAATAGATATTCAGATCCTCGTGAAGTACCTGTGCACACGCATTCTGCCCCCACACACTAGCATTCAACCACTCACAAACACACGCACGCATACACTCATCCCCCATACATACAGGCAAAATTAAAGGAGCAATATGTAATATTTGCATGTCAACTCATCATTAAATGACCCGAATATTTCAAAAGGCATTAATAAATCATGTTC